CTGGAGGTCTGATGGAGGTCCAGCAGAAGCACAACGGTTCTGAGAGGAGATGCACCTCCTCCTATCCCAGACCGCATGGTGAGAACTGATGTGATGAACCTGTAAAAACCACAAACCAGTAAAAGACTCCGGTTCCTCTCCACGAACACAGAGTCCATAAAGGGTTCTGCTGGGACCCCCAGAACCAGGACCCGGTCTGGAGACCCCCGTCTGGCCGGATGGTTCCCTTTTTGCTCCGGTGATCAAAAACCTGTGAACCTTGAACTCCTCATCATGAGTTTTTCTCCAAATCCAACCACTCCAGATGTTTCTACGGAAGCTTTTTGGGCCCAAAACAACCAAACAGATGATGTTATGATTTATAGAATGTATCATCCAGTCTGTCTCCTGAGCAAAAAGCAGACCGGACAAAGCTCAGAGGAGCAGATCCAGATCCAGAAGAGCTACCAGGCTCCCACCTATCCTACGTTTCCGCCCACTTTATGATCTCTTTTGTGAATTCACGCTGAAGTGTTGGGACCCGATGGACCGGACTCACAAACAGACTCACACTCTGTGGTTGTGTCTTCTCAAAAATCAGCCCGTTACAAACCCCCTTAAATTATTGTTCCTGGAACTGTGGGCCTCAGCTGTCCGGTAGCAGCCGTTTCCCTCCACCACTGTAGCAGCATGTGTTCTTTTAATAAATAATCTATGTTTTTACCCCTGTGGTCGGTCATTCAGCCCCCGGCTGGACATGTCAGGACCGATAGAAACACATGCAGATATTGTTTTATTGCATGGGTTTATCATTTGGTTACAGGAACTCAAGAAAGCCGAAGAGAAGATTGCAGCACCAGACTTTCCTCTAATCATTTTTAGCTCATTTCTTGTCCTTTTATTTGTCTTTCTCACTTAAAACTGACCAACGAGTCATTCAGGCATTCAAAAGACCACAACCTCAAGAGAATTTAGCAAAGAGGCAGTTTTTTTGGATCTTTAGGCAGCCGATTTCTTTAGTTGATCCAAAGGAAACGGGATGGAAGCACCTGGGTGTGTTCTGATAAGAGGTGAGAGTCGGAGGAGGTTTTAATGGCCGGAGATCAGTCAGTGGGAACGCCAGCCCCTCCCGGAAACGCTTCCTTTTGGGCGTCCCGCCGCACAAACGGCTGCCTTCTGATTTTATAATCTGCTTACGTTCCACTGCAGACGCGAGCGGAGGCTGCAGATTTATGGAAATAATCCCCCCTCCGTGCTGCAGCCGGAGGATCACAGGCAGGAGACGCTCACCTAGAAAAGGTCAGTCAGTTTCCTCTAAGCCTTCTGTTCAGTTCCAGTTCAGGTCGGAAAAGGGGGTTGATCAACAGTCAGAGCTTCCTCCCTAGCTGGAGTTTTTAGTGCCTCATCAGTCCCCAAACATTTAGAATAAAAATGTTCCTCCACACTGAGGGAGAAAAATCACAAACCAAGCATCATTCCTGCATAAAAAAACAGCCGATTCTTTTCTTTATTGACAGTATTTGTTAGCAGAACTGGTTATTTATTACTAACAAATGCAAAACTAAGGTAAGTAATGAAAATAAAAAGGGAAATATGAGAGTACAGAAAAGTTCCACTGCCGTGTTTTCAAAGGACATGATCTCCAAAGTATTAGAATATTAGCCATAAAAAAAGCTTGCCTGCCCACATGCGCTTTAAGGTCTAATTTTAGTGGATTAGCAACAGTTAAGTCTCTTTCCCAAAAAAAGCTTGTTAAAATGGATGAATTTTAAACGTGCAAACCTGGGTACTGAGCACAGATAATGCAGAATAAATGCCGACTTACAGCATTTTGTGTGGAATTTAGGCCTAATTTGCACCTTAAGACAGAGGAAAAAAGGTCTATTAAAGGTAAACAATGAGCAGAACACACAGCAAATGCACAAATGTGGTCTTAATCTTTCCTCTCCACTGTCCCTGTGGATATAATATAGTTATTACAGTGTGCTGCTGCCATCTAGTGGCTCAGATCAGTTACAACAACTTCGGTGGAAAAGAAGAAAAAGAAAAAACTTGAATTACGTTTGGTGACCTAACGAACATTTGGTCCCGACTTTATAGCTGTTTAATTATAAAAAAACTGAGAGGTAGCAGCTCTGTGAGGCAGGTAAAGTTTGAGTTTTAACCTTTAAAATAAATTAAAAAAAACGGGGGGCAACAAACAGCAGAGACGTCTAAAAATAAAAATAATTTATTTACACTCTGTAAACTGTCAAAAACCAGGCAAACAAACAGTAAGAAAAATAAATCCAACCCTGTCAACTTAGTGACGATGAAGAAGATGAGTTAAAGTCTGTACAGATCACAGCTCAGTGTTACCACAATCTACGGCCCAAACTCTGAAAAGCTTTAAAAGAATCAAACGAACCGGGCTCCATTCTGTAGAATCCTCTCCATCAAACTAAATCAAGTGTTAACCAGAAGAAAAAATCTTAAAAATGTTTTTTTTTATTTTTTATAAAAGAAGATAAAGCTCTTTCCTGAAGGAAGAAGAAGAAGAAATAAGAGGTGATACTTTCACCTCTGTGGCTAAAAGCTCCCTCCTGGAGCTCCAGGAGCAGGCATGCGGAAGTAAGCTTTTATTTATTATAAAAAAGCTCCTTTAAAGAGGGAGACTCCACGTTTTAGTGTCTCAAGTCTGGTCTTTAGGTTTTGTGCGTTAAAAATCCTCCTTCCTGGTCGTTACATCTGGATTTAGGGGTGAGTGGCGTTCCCTCAATTGGGTTTTTGGTGCTCAGAAAGGTTGCGTTCTGATAAAACCGTCTTCTGATTGGCTGAGGGGGGGGGGGGGGGGGGGGGGGGGGGTGGGGGGGTGTGGGGGGGTCAGGGGCGGAGCCGGAAGCGGACGAGCAGAGGCAGGTGGTCGGAGGAGTGGTGCTGGTTGGGCAGGCTGTTGACCTCCTCCAGCTCCAACTGGCTGACCAATGAGAGCCGGCCCAGCAGCTGCAGGCCCCGCCCACCAGGAAGTGAAGCCCCGGAATCTTTAGAAGGGAAAAGAGAAAGAGAGAGAAGCTGTGACCGGTGGTGGAAGGTCGGGGGAGTGTGTGTGAGTGTGTGTGTGTCTGTCCCTGTGTGTGTGTTTGTGTGTTTATGTCTGTCTGTCCCTGTATGTGTGTGTGTTTGTATGTGAGTGTGTGTGTGTGTGTGTGTTTGTATGTGAGTGTGTCTGTGTGTGTCCCTGTGTGTGTGTGTGTCTGTCCCCGTGTGTGTGTGTTTTTGTGTATGTTTGTGTGTGTGTGTGTGTGTGTGTG